ATGACATAATTTCAGTAATTATCTAAATTACTAATTTGTAATTATGTAAATTACTGAAAATTCAAGTTTTTTTTAGTAAAATTACATGGATTACATAAAATTAAATAGAAATGCGTGCATTACATCATAGCCTTCTGTCATCACATTAACAATAATTCACAACTTCTATGAAATAAATTTGAATAATTTACTGTTATATTTATTTAACAATAAATTTACAATAGCTAACTTAAATAATAATGCATTAACAGTAAGCAGTAAGTAACTATTATTTCATTAAAGTATTTCAATTTATTTGAATATTAATTTAATGTTAGCTAACATTTATCAATTAAATCAAGGCATTTCATGTTAATAACTGTTATTAATTTAAAGTACTGGTAATCATTAAAAATCCCATGCAAAGGAGCCATGCTTTGTTATTTTAAGTAACAGATCCAAAACCCCGATCCAAGACCCGACCCACCGACCTACACAGATACAGAGCAATCAATCATAGTATGCATGTCCAAGGAAATCATGAATTTGGTCCCAAATTTCTAGAAGTTGTACTGATCAACTATCCAATCTAAAAATTAATTTAAGGTATACCATTAATTAAGCAATAAATAAATAAGAAACAAGTGGAATGGCAAACTAAGAATATCAGTTTCTGAATGGGAAAAACAACTTCTTCTATATTATAGGAAATAGCAATGTTTTTAAAACCGGATCGGATTGGATGATTGGACCAGAAAAACTAGGAATGTCCATTTTACCTTAGAATCAGTTTTTGACTAAAAACCGTTGATTTAGTCAGTAAATCGTTAATTTGGGTGGTTGAACTGTTTGAATTGTTCAATGATTTTAACCATTTTTATTTTTATTTTTTTAATTTTTTTGTTAGAACAGGCCATCCATTCAATTTGAACAATTGGACCATTCGAACCAAAAACCAAACCCCTGAACGGTTCTTGTCCGATTCGTTTTTTAAAACCTTGGGAAATAATAATTAAAAGAACTGCAAGCTTTTGCCATTGACCTCTTCTCCCCCCTGTTCAATGCATTGAGTTTTACAAAAACCTTACTTTCAAACCTCCTATCAAACTCAAACATAATACGGTGCATGTTGTAATACCTGAAAACTGGAACGAAGTAAGAGCCTAGAAAACATTTTGGCATACTGAACAGATTTTCAATGGTTATTAGGAGCCAAGGTGGAGTCGTCCAAAACCGAGACCCTGAGACAAAGAGAATGGTAACTGCTCCGCCCCTGTTTTGTGAGAGAGCCAATGGAAATATAACCATGTTCTGCCCTTATTTTGTCATTCAAAATTGAGAGAGAAAGAAGCAATCCACCCCTGTTTTATATCGTCTAAAACTGCGACTGAGAGAGACTTAGGCTCAGTTTGATAAGAGTACAAATATAAATATATACAGTATAAATAAATACAAAATAATACAATATATAAGGTTTTACACTTTACAATTATATTTGCATTTGTACTCTTTCCAAACTAAGCCTTAAGGACTAAGAGAGGTGCATGGGATATAGAGGAAAGTTTTTTTTGGATGGTATCCGAATCCGATCGACTATATCAAGGGTCATGGGAACTCCCAATTCACACTGCAATGTGTGTGAGGTGAATTCGGTGTGAAGAGCAAATCTGGCCAGTCAGTCTTGCATGAAAATGAAAGAAATGAAAATATATTGATGAGGGAAAATTTGGCCTGTTTAATGAGACGATGACACGTGAAGAAATGCACAATGACTTGGTGACACTTCAACATCCTTAGACACCTCAGCAGTCCTAGTCACCTTGGGCATCTCCGGTCACCCAACCAAGACTGGAGCTCAAGCAGCTCGCCAAACTCATTGACTTGCTGAGCTGCTATGCAATCTCTCTCTAGAAACGAGTCAAGTGTCTCTGATTTCTTCGTGATCATGTTGCATGCCAATGAATCTTATTTTCATCTCACCCAAATCAGATGGACCTGAATAAGTCTTATCAGCTTACTTGAAGTCCATCTTCGAGTGCGAAATTGACTCTGGGTTAAATGGGCTAGTGATCTCGAATACGCATCATGAAGCCTACAATAGTTCGCCTATGTAAAGGCTTTACCTCCGGCCTCACAAGATACGCAAGATCTAATTCTCGCAATTTATTACTCTCAAGCAATCAATTCTCTACAATTTTTTTTGCTAACTTAACATTGAAATGCTTATACCGAATAAAGTACCCCAGAAGTTCTGATTTTCTCGTCATTCAACCCTGCCACGTAACAGTCCAACATCCTAACCGCCTTCCAGCAATGAACGACCAGATCGTGTATCATCATATATGATACTTAGGGAAGAGGTGGCGTGGCGTATTTAGAAAAAAAACAAAAAGAAATAGGTAGCGTGGTGTCTTTGAAAAAAACAACAAGAAAAAAAAAAAAAAAAGAAATAGGTGACGTGAGTGTGTTTAAGGAATACGAAGAAGGAGCTAAAGTGTACGAAGTTGGCTGCGGGACCGAAAGCTTGAGTGCCGCGGTCGTTCTCAGTCCAGTCGAGTAAAGGATATGTATATGGCTTCTGGAAGAACACCCGATTGGATTCTTTCGCCGAGTAATATATAGCGTAATTGTCTGATTGTCTGTCAGTCAGACTAAAATACAGCTGGATTGGAATTTTCCACTTTATAACAGCACGTGTCATGTTAAACATTGTAATCATTGGAGGCAGACAGAATCACAGAATTGATCATGATCTTCTTAATATTTCCCACGTGAGTTCGTGTGTTCTGCATTATTTTGAAAATCGGATCTGGACGGTCGAACCGTTTAATATGCGAAACCAATGTTTTTGAACCGCGGTTGATGCGGATGGTCGGATCGTTCAGCCCGGAAACCATCGATTCGTTTGACCCGGACAGCAGTTCGCGGTTTGAGAAATTGCAGATTTGAGACAAATTCAGATCTGATATTCAGGAAGAAGAAGAAGAAAAAGATCTAGATCTCAGAAGAAGAGAAGAAGAAGAAGATCTCAGATCTAGATATGAGAAAAAATAAAAAATCAATCTCAGATTTGAGATCTGAGAACTCTTATGAGATCTGTCATCTGCGCTATGTTATCGCTGTCGCCATCTCGTCGTCGTCGTCGCCGTCGCTGTCACCATCGCCGGTGAGCGTCGAATCATTCTCCTCCTCTTCCTTCTTCTTCCCTCTTTCCCTCTTTCTTTCCTTCATTTTCTTTCTCTTATTTTCCTTTTTTTTTTCCTTTCTCCTTTCTTTCTTTCCTTCTTCTCTTCTTTCTCAGCTGACAAAATACTCTTCTCCACTCCTCCAGTCCTCCTTTCTTTGTTTCTGATGACTCATATACTATTTGGCCTTTCCTAATATAAACCATCTGAACCGTTTGACCCGGAAACCGATAGCTAGAATGGTTCCGTTTTCGAGTCAGTTTTTAAAACCTTATGAGAAACAGTCATATCTCCTGGTGTGATTTTCATGTAAACCAAATCGTTTTTTTTTTTTTTTTTTTTTTTTTTTTTTTTTTTTTTTCTGAAAAAAAAAACCATTGAATAAGCATCTCTTTGGCATCGATGCAATTGCTTTAGAAAATGGTGATACATCAGTGTCATGCCAGAAAAAATGGTGCTCCAAGAAATGCCTGTTTGTTTGAAACCATTTTTCATAAAAAACGGTGCGCTAAGCCACACTTTAGAAATAGGGAAGGCGTGACTTGGAGCAACGCCACATTTGGTGTTTCCTGGAACTGTAGCTCATAGCTACCAATAGGGACATGAGGTGGTAGTGACAGAGACGTGATGTGGCATTGGATAATAGGTACGAGTGCTAAAAACGTTTCATGGAGCATTGGTATCAAACAGAAAACGTTGTTTTTGCTCTAAGAAAGGTCCTACCTAGTAGCAATTTTTTCAAAAAAAAAAAAAAAAGAAACCATTTTCTTAGAAAATGGTGCTGCTGATGTGTGGGTTGGAAGCACCGTTTTTTGAGAAAACGGTGCATTTTTTTTGTTTGGAATAGTTGCTGCCAAGTAGGACGTTTCCTAGAGCAACATCAACTTTTTCTGTTTGGTACCAATGCTCCAAGAAAATTTTTCTGCACTTCTACCCATTATCCAGTGCCACATCATTGCTCTATTGGAAGCAACGAGATGTATCTCCAGGAAACACCAAATTTGGCATTACTCCAAGCCATGCCTTCCTGATTTCTAAGACATGGCTTGGAGCACTGTTTTTTTATGAAAAAACAGTTCCAAACATATGATTGTTTTCTGGAGCATCATTTTTTCCTACATGGCGCTGATATGATGCCGCTGCTCCAAAAAACGGCAACGATGCCAAATAGCCACAGTAAAAAAACCCGGGCAACAGTTCACTGCAAAGAGAGATCTAGAGATGGGGAGAGATTGAAATAAGATCTCAGATCTGAAATCACTGCAGAGAGAGATCTAAGATCAGATCTGTGATCGCCTCTTCCTCCTCCTCCTCCTCCTTCTTCTTCTTCTTCTTCATCGCAGAAGAAGGTAAGCATATGCTGTAACAATGCTTACCTTAATGTTATTGTATTCTTCATCGCAGATGACTGCATGCACTTACACACCGCATGGTTGAAAAAAAAAAGAGAGTAATAAATGAACAAATGGGTAGAATAGTAATTTTAAAATCTATGGTGCATTCGATACACGGTGCAGCAATAGACGTAGTCGAATCATATCTTTGATTAACATTTTGTCTTGTTCAACATCAAAAGTTTTTAACTTTTTATTGTTTAATCCACTTCATAAACTTTTATTGATTTGTACAGTTGCAACTGGTGCCGCGGGAAATAAATCAAAATATTGATTGTCTCTATTCCATAAATTTATTTGTTACAAAATTAAAATAAAAAATGATTTAAGTGGAGTTGTATCAGGATCAAGTCGTCTCGATCGGACTCTCGATCCATCATCTCCTTTGACTTTCTACATATTAAAAAATAAGTTAATTTTTTACAAATAATATCAATAAATCATTCCACGAATTTTTTTTTAATCAGCTGGGAGAGAGGTCTCGCTGACGCTGGGAGACATCGAAAGTGGCGGTGTCGCCAGACGCTGTGAAAGTAGGAAGTCCACTGGATGAATCATTCACGAGCTTGAACATCCACTCCTCGAACGCAAGCTGATCATCGCCTACTAAATCCCAGAAATTCTCTTGCTTGTTAATGGTTTCAGGTGCCAACTCTACCGTCTCCGGAGGGGATAAAAATGACTCTTGCTGCATACATGCAGTACTGTGAGTAGTGTATGGTTTCTCTTCTTCCTGTTGCTGCTGCTGTAAATGTTGCTGTTGTTGTTGGGTGTCTAAGTTTTGGTTCTCTGCGCTACTGGTACCTGCAGTGTTATCAGGGAATGGGAAATTGAGCTTGGCTCGAGCTCCGCGGAACTCAATGGCGGCCTTGTCGTAAGCACGAGCAGCCTCTTCAGCGGTATCGAAAGTTCCGAGCCAGACGCGGGCCGCCCTTCGAGGGTCCCTAATCTCTGCAGCCCACTTTCCCCAAGGCCTCTGTCGCACACCCCTATAGTTTTTATTGCCTTTCTTTCTCTTTTTCCCTTTCTTACTACTGTCACTAGCTGCTGCCGAGGTCGACTCCTGCTGCTGCATAGAAGAGGATAAAGACGAGGAGGAGGCAAAAAAATTACAACCCAGACAACCGTGGATCCCACAGAGACCACAGGTGTAAGCTTCAGGAAGTGGCAGAATGCTAGATGGTGGTGGTGGTTCGGAGGTGGAAGGAGAAGTTGCCTTGGCGCCGGAGAGGACGTGAATGAGAGCGGAGACCATGATGGAGAACTCTCGCTCGCGCTGTGAAGGGGAAGGGTACTGGCCGAGATCTTCCAATTCGTTAATGTTGTTTGTTACCATAGCAAGCTAGCTACTAGCTAGCTTGGCTTTGATGAATACTGAATGCTGAATACTGTGTGTTGGGTTGTTTCAAGTTTGAAATTGGAGGGAGAGTGGCTTTTTATCGTAAAGAAGGAAGGTGTAGTCCGAGTCAACACTGTTCACACACGGCCTTGAGTTTTTGTTTGGTTTTTCCTGTTAAACGCTTACATCAAGCTTACATCATCAATATTCAATGAATAAGAGGATAAAAAGTTGAACTTCACAAATCGCATATTGTCAGGCGCCAGGTGGACATTAGTTGGCACACGGCGTCTCTGGACGGTTACGAGTTATGACTAAACTAACTGACTGCATTGAGCTGTGGGCGACCTTCGATGGTTTGTTTTGTCGTTACCCGAACGTGCGTGCTGGACAAGTGGACATCTCTCTCGTCTTGTTATTTGGACATACAGGACAACGATGACGACTTTAAATACAGGAGTTCAAATCAGCCCCACAAGATTGTCCCCATAACGTTTCACAGCACATCCCCGCCATGTATTAAAAACATCTTACAGGAGTTCAAATCTGTTGGTTCGGACGTTGTTGTCATGGTAGCAGATTAAAACTCGACACGGGTGAGAAAAAAAAATCAATAAGCGAATCGATTGAAATCGAATAGAAAATTTGGTTAATTAAATTGGTCAGTTTAGTTTCTGGTAACCAAAATAGAAAATTGGTGATTAATCAAACTGACCGATATATATATATATATATTATATTTTATGTATATTTATATATTATATATTATAAATTAATAAATATGTATTATATATATAAATATATATTTATAATATATAATATATTATTTATTATTTAAAATATAATATTATATATTTTTAGTATTTTATTATATATTTATATATTTTCTATAATAAATATTGTAAATAATAAAAAATCAAAAAAATTAACAAACCAAACCGGTCAACCGGTTAACCAATCGATTTTGGTTCGATTTCAGTTACCAGTTTTTTGAACCGATAACCCTAATTTGATTTCAAAAATTAGCCCACCGTAAGCACCCCTACTCAACAAGTATGGATTAAGGAGTCTGGGTTTCTAGAGGCTGAATCCGGAGTTGGGTGGGCTCAAGATTTTGGAGTTCACATATGCACCCCATATGTGCATCTCAGCATGCATTGGGAACATCTCCCATATTTATTAGTGGGAGATGTTCCTAATACACGGTTGAGATGTAGTGTGGAGCGTTAGTGGGGTCACAGATGTGAATTCAAGATTTTTCTACTCAAGGAATCTCTTCATTCAGGGGCTCTCGACTCTCGACCCTGTTACCAATTCTGAAGCAGAGTAAGTTCTGATTCCGAAGATCTAAAAAAATGTGTCGGTGACTTGGAGAGATCGGAGGAAGAGAGAGAGATAGAGGGCCCCCTTCGTTGAATGGATATGCAGGGGCCCCGCAAAAATCCCCACAATACCCATTTTAACTTTACCTATATTTTGGCCTCTATACCCATGTTTATTAACTTTTGGCCCCTATCGTATTTATTATTTTTTAGTCCCCTCTTAATATGGTGTTAATGGAATTTCCCAACATAGTATTAATGGATCCCCATACGAGTATGGGCCCAATTTATAATATTTGAACTTCTATCTTTCATAATTGGGAAATTGTCTAAAACTCACCATGAGTTTTCAGCATTTCTCTTAAATTCACCACAACTTTTCAAAATGTCTAAAACTCACCATGTCACTAACTTGACGTTAAACAGACTAACAAATGTTAATATATTACCATTTTAACCTTCATAGAAAATATAAAATAAATACAAAATAAATTAACGGGTGTTAATATATTAACATTTTAATATTTAGACATGAAAAAAGGAAAAAAATTTTAAAAATATTTCAAACATAAAATACATAAAAATATAGAAATTACAAAAAATATAAAAATATATAAAAATTTCAAACAAAATAAAAAAAAAATATTTTCAAGTTATAGAAACTATAGAAATTGAAAAACGAAATCAAAAAATAAAAATTGTAGAAAAAACACTAAAAATTATAGAAAAACACAGAAATTACAAATAAATAACAAAAAATACAGGAAATTTTATAGATTGTAGAAAACAGAAAATGTAAAAAAAAAACAGAAATTATAAAAACAATTGGAAATTATAACAAAATACTAAAAATGAAAAAAAACAAGAAAATTGAAAACTGAAAAAGACCATTTTTCCTCTAACTCGCCATTCAAGGGTAATTTGGTCATAAAAATTGTTACTTATGCTGATATGGACACCTCTGCTAAGAAGCATTAGCATGCACTAACAGAAGGTGAGTTTTAGAAAATAAAAACTTACTGACATGGTGAGTTTTAGACATTTTGAAAAGTTGTGGTGAGTTTAAGGGAAATGTTGAAAACTCATGGTGAGTTTTAGACAATTTCCCTTCATAATATCTTATATTTCTATTTGCCCATCTTGCCCCTTAATTAAAGCACATGTATTTATTTGTAATTCTAGAATGTCCTTAAATGTTATTATTCTAGAAAATTCTAACTTTTGATTATTTGTAAATAATAAGTGCATAAGAGGTTTGGCCCAGTCTAGTCTGGCCCAGATTTATGTCGTATTGATCAAGTTTATGTACTTATACAAATCCATTGTCTTATGGTATGACTTGGAAAGATACAAATTTGTTTTTTTACCATAGCCTCCCTTAACTTTAATCTCCGCAAAAGCCTCCCTTCACATTTGGTTGAATGGACAAAGAGTACATGAGATGGGTATGATTATTATTAGGGTTGAAAAATATAAGGGTAAAAGACTTAAACATCTCCTGATATTTCACCTAAGGGACATTCTTTTTTTAGATTTTGAGAGGGGGAAGTTGGTCAATGGGATTTTGGTTCCCATTGACCAAGAATCCCATGTTCATTTTTCAGATTAATGTGGGGACCAGGGAAAGTTTGTTTTCCTAGATACCCATCTCCTAAGTGGGTAAATAACTTTCCCACCAAGGAGAGACAAAAATGCCCCTTTTAATAATGGATTTTTATGATTAAAATGATCATTACCTTATTTATCTAAAAAATAAAAGAACATGGGTAAATGCACATACCCGGATAAATGTTTCCCAAGAAAAACTTACCCAGGTAATTGCATTTACTCGGGTAAATAACTTACCAAAAAGCGAATGGGGCCTAAATATTAAAACATCCCCTCACTTTTCAAATTGGATTTAGACTTCCCCTCTTAGATTTATAACCCGTTATGTCTAATGGACAAAGAAAAATGAATATACCCCATGTTGAATTTGGGATTAAATTAATTACAAATTAATTTAGAGAAAAAAAAACCCATTTTCAACCTTTAACAATGAGAACTTAACTGCTAATGGATAGGGGTGTTCACGGGTCGGGTTGGGTAGGTTTATTGGGGTTTTCCCAACCGACCCGACCTGGTCGGGTTACCTGAGGTGGAAACCGAAACCGACCCACTGATAGGCCAAACCGACCTAGTCAGTTTGAGTCGGGTTGGGTCTGTTTGAGTTAGTTTCGGTTTTGCTCCTGTATAAAAGGACACCTAATTGAATTCTAATTGTAATTGCCTAATGGGTTGCCTATTTGGTGTAAAAGACTATAGAAAGTTAGAAACTAGGATATATCGCCTATTCTAATTGTAATTGCCTAATGGGCCTTCTAGTTCTAGTAGAAGACTAGTTATAGTTAAGTAGGAAACTACTCAAACTAGGAATTACCGAACTAGTAGAAGACTAGTTCGGTTCAGGTCGGGTTGATTTCGATTTTCACACAAAAAAATTGAAACCGACCCGATATATCGGTTTATATATTTGCCCAACCCGAAACCGACCGGTACTGATGAAAACCCGACCAACTCGGATTGAATTGGTCCAGGTTGGTCGATTTGGTCGGGTTGGGCATTCTTATCAACAGCCCTACTAATGGAGCTGCATCTGTCCACTAATCCACCTATCTTCCTACCTGTAAAATAAAAATAATCTGAAATCATAAATCTAACTGCAAAAGGGCACATTTGATGCTCACATTTGTTTGTATATATTAAAAAAAACTGTTTGCAAATATTACAAAAAGAAACAGTTTTAAAGGCTCTTAGGAAAGGTGGTTTCGGTCCATATAAGACACAACCAACTAATCAAAGAGATAAAGGGCAAAACTGGATTTTTTTTTAATTTAAACCAAATATGATGTCATGTTCTAATAAACATAAATGGAGTATTAACAGATGAGAGGTTTTTGTCCGCTAGCATCATCTAAGAGGAGAGGGGATGTTTCAGTATTCTGGTGAAATATCAGGGGCCGTTTAAATATAAATAATCCTGGGAATGGCATATTTATTCTTATAAAAAAAAAATGTAGTCACACTGTATCATATCCAAACTTTCCACTTATCATCGACACTGTTAAGCTTTTGGGCTGAACTACCGGCTGTAGTCGGGTCAGATTTGGATCCAACCACAACTCTATCTGATATTATTGAAGCTTCAAATCTGGATCCAAATCTGATATATTGGATCAGATTTAAAATAAAGAAAATTAATTTTTTTTTAAAAAAGTTAATTACTCTTTAACTAATACTAAATTTATATAAAATAAATTTTAATTGAATTCATATCTTAATCAGATCAGATGGGGTCAAATCTGCATCTGATCCGATTATTAAATGGATGTAGATTAGGATCAGGTTTTGGACTTTCAGAGTCCATTGGCAGCCCTATTTAGGTTTACATGAGAGAGAGAGAGACTTCAATGAAATCAAAAGTCATATTAGATAAGAGTGGGTTAAAGAGAAAGTTGTACACTAGAAGTTTTAAAAGTAAAACCCATGATCCCATCCAAGAATCTAGGAAAAATGGCTTGATGTGTGAAAGAAGGCAAACCATTTTACCCCATTCTCACTTTAGCTTTGGGTAATATTTTGCTTCTTTTAGATGGTGTTTGGTTTCGTTGCCGTTTATCTGAAAAATGGCATCAGCTCAGTGCCACATAGGTGTTTCCCCTGAAATGCTGTTTTGTTAAATCATTTATTAAATAAACATTTGTCTTAGTTTGTGTGAGAGCCATCTGTTGTGGGAAGCTTCTTTTTAATGTTTCCCCCAACGCTCAAGCATTTTTTTCACTATTGTGGCGCCTAATGGAATCTAATGGTGCCTACCAAAAAACATTAACAAACGTTCTTTCAACCATTTATTTCATTTTTCAAGATGAAGAAAGTACAAAATGTATATTAAATAAATGGCAACAGAACCAAATATATTATTGGCAATAAAAAAAATTAATTTCTTTCTAATATGCCAATCAAAATAGAAGAATATGTGAGTGATGCAAGGGATTCAAAATAGAAGAATATGTATCAATTAAACTGATCTCTAACCTCCTAAATTGTAATGTTCAGATAATCAGATTGCAAAACTTAGAAAACTTCTCTAAGAAAAGTGGTCAAGCTTATTCAGTTATTCTTGTCAGTGGGCACAAATTTTTGCGTTAAGGATGTCAACCTCAGAAAGCTTCAATCCAGAAGGAAATCATCACCCTTGGTCATACATATGGAAGAATAACCCCAAATCTGATTGTATACAGAAAAGGAAAGAGAACGCTTGATCTATTGTATACAACTATACATACTAATCTTGAAGGAAGGAAAAGAAAACCACAAGTTTTGAAACTCTACCACAAATTTTAAGATTCTATAAACCACATTTAAAAGAGGAAATAACCAATCAACCATAAAGTTGCATACCAGTATAAAAATCCAGAATCATTTAGAAGAATCAACAGTCTTAAAGAAACAAAGAAAGACGGTCAGACTGAAGAAAAAAAGAAAAACAAAAATCAATAAACAATAAGTCCATAGAAAATTGCATGTTGCAATGTATACAATGATAATACTTAGTGTTGTTGGAATAGTGTGAATTTTCCATTTTTTGGAGAAAAAGAGACCAGTCAATTGGCTCTTTAAATAAGGTTTCTTCTTGAAAATAAAACTTCAACATGAATTGTCATAAAGAAATTGCTAGAAGTTTTTCTCTTATGAACTTGCAATTTCTAGGCTAAACCCTGTTTACCAACCAAATGTCAGAAATAAAAAATTAATTAATAATGTTTTCTTATCAACAAAACCAAAACTTACTATTTTATTACTGTTTAAGTGCACATATACAGGCAAAGTGGATAGTTGACAAGAATGAAGAGATTATTTTTGGCCAAGGCACATTCCTGAAGAGATATCCCTTATAGAAAAATGATGGCAGGTGCAATCCCCCTAATGAAATCAGCCCTCTAATGCCTTTACAGTGGATTTCCTTAAATTGTCCATATGATTCGACAAATTATAGTGCCTCCTAGGTCCACAAACTGCAGTTGATCAAGCCATAAGATTCGGAACTTTTTCTTTTCCTATAAGAAAGACCATTACCTCCATCACTCAAACAACTAAAAGAGGTGAACAATAACTTCTTCAAGCATTTCCTGAGAGTTAATGATGGTGTCACTATATTTCTGAAGATAGTTTTGATCTCTGGATGATGAGTATGTTTTTTAAAATCAACACCACAAGATAATGAGTACGTCTTTTAAAATCACAACTGGAGCAAAGGTTCCCAAGCTATTTTACAGGTATTCCCTTTGACTGAGAGAGCGTCTTAGTGACTCTATCATACTGGAATGCACATCTGCTGTGCTTTGGGTAATCAGGGTGGTACGTTCTCCAGAACTGAGACTTTGTAATAAGATAACATGGGCACCTAAGGAAACTATTCTTAAGATCCTCTGCTCAGCTTCCCAATAAACTATTCAAATTGACATTAATTTACCCCAAGAAGACTAAAACCAGGTAGTTTTCTCAGTTGTTTCCCTTCCATTTCAGATCTCAACCTACAGGCATCTGTCCACCTTCCAGCTGCTGCATAGATGTTAGAAAGCATCACATATGAATTGGAATTTTCTGGATCTATTTCAGAAAGCCTTTTCCCAATTTCTTCGCCAAGCTTGATGTTGCCATGTATGCAGCAAGCACCCAATAAGGATTCAAGCAAACTTGCAGAAGGCTTAAATGGAAGACTCTTAACAAGGTCGAATGCCTCGTGCAAACGACCTGTTCGGCCAAGAAGGTCCACCAAGCAAGAGTAGTGCTCCATCCCTGGCTGCATGCCATGTTCTGCAATAGAATTGAAAAGCACCTGGCCTTCGTCAAGTAAGCCTGCATGGCTGCAAGCCGACAAAATACTAACAAAAGTAATGTCATCGGGTCCAACTCCAGAGTTCTTCATCTGTGAGAAAAGAGAAAGTGCTGCTTCACCATTACCATGCATCCCATATGCATTGATCATTACACTCCAAGATATAGCATCCTTCATGGCCAAAAAATCAAACAGCTTTCTTGCAACAAAAATGTTTCCACATCTGGCATTTAAATCTATAAGGGCATTGTAAATGAATACGTCTTTCTCAAAACCCTTGCAAATGATGTAAGCCATTATGCACTGTGTGAGATTCTGACTTCTTAATTGAAGAGAAGCTGAGATCAAGGTCAAGATTGTTATATGATCAGGTTCAACTTCTGTTTGAAGCAATTCACAGAATGTGGCAACTGCATTTTGGGAATTTTTGCTCTGGACATGCACAGCCATCATAGTATTCCACATAGAAATGTTGCTCTTATCCACCAATTTAAATAGTAAACAACATACATTTACATTCTCAAATCTAGCATACATGAGTACAATAGATGTAAAAAGAGGAGGTTCTAATATAGCTCCAGTTCTAACTGCATAAGCATGAATGGATCTACCCTGCAACTGGGTAGAGCATATAGGTAACACATTTAGTAAGGTTACATAATTTGGTTTATGAACCTCCATTGTCATTCGGCGAAACAAGACTATGGCCTCTCTATGTAAGTTGTGGTATCGGTAACCAGTCAATAGAGCATTCCAAGAGACCACACTCCTTTCAGGCATGCATTCAAAGAGTAATATCCCGGAACTCAAATCCCCACAATTGAAATACATGCTAACAAGTGCATTTACAAGAGAAATATCAGAGCAACACCCAATTTTGATAGCATGGCCATGGATAGCCATCCCTTGTACCAAGCCTTCTGTTTCACAGAAACCAGGGAGAATGGTTATTATGGTAACCAAATCCAACCGTACATCCTCTTGCTGCATCTGACGTAGGAGGGAAATTGCATCTCCAATGTTTCCAGTGTGAACACACCCAGCTATTAAAGTATTCCATGAAACCACATTCCTCATTGCCATCTTATGGAATAACACAAGGGAAGAAGAAAGTTGTTCAGGATCACAGTAGAAAGCTAATAGTGAATTTAACACATTAATATTTGATTCAAATCCATTTCGAAGGATAAAAGCATGGGCAGATTTGCCCAGATGAATGCCATCTAATCTGCTGCAGGCTGAAAGAATAGTAACTATGGAGACTGCATCTGGAATCAAGCCTGTGGTCTGCATGTTGCGGAATGCAGCCAAACCCAAGTCCAAAAACCCATTCTGTACATATCCTGAAATCATTGAATTCCACGACAGGAGGTTTTTCTCAGGAATTTCATCAAACAGAAATTTAGCAGAATCTATATCTCCATCTTTGGCATACAATGATATAAGGGCTATGGTCACAGAAATTTGATGCTCCAAACCATGTTTAATTCCAGAAGCATGAAGTGATTCTCCACACCAAGAGCTACCTAAGTAGTCACAAGAGGTAAACATAGATATATATGTGACTGAATTAGGTAGCATATTTCCTTGGAGCATCAGTCGGAAAAGTTCAAAGGCTTCACTGGATCTCTTGTTCTGTGTATATGCAGAGATCATAGCATTCCAGGCAATAACATTCCTCTCAGGAAGTAAATCAAACAGCTTGCGAACAATACATAAATCACCAACACCACCGTACATGGAGATAAATGCAGGCACCAAGGCTTCATCTGAACAAAATCCACACTTGACAGCAAACCCATGGAGGGATCTACCAGTATCTAGAATTCTCAAATGGGTGCATACAGGAACAATGGTGGCCAAGGTGCTTGCATTCGGCTTCAATCCCACAGTCCAAATTTGCTTGAAAACCTCAATGGCTTCCTGATAGAGCCCATTCATAGAATAACCAGAGAGTAAAGCGTTCCAAGAAACCAAATCAAGCTGAGGAGCTCTATCAAAAAGTAGACGTGACTTTTCCATATGGCCAACTTTAGCATACATGTCTATGAGACCAGTTTGTACAACAAGGTTCTGCTCAAACCCTGTTCTCAGAACAGTACAGTGAACCTCCTTCCCTGTTCGGTGATCAGAGAGTGCTGCACAGGCCTTGATGACAAAAGGGAAGGTGAAATTATCAGAGAGACAGCCTGATTTCTGACATTTTAAATAGAGAGCCAAGAGTTCCTTGTATAACCCATGATTGCAAAGGCACCTCAACATTATATTCTGCAAGAACAAAGTAGGTTTCTGAATGCTATAAAAAGCACCAAGAGCAAGCTCATGGACATCCAAATAGAAGCAAAGCCTAAGGAATTCTCCAACCAAGTACTCGTCCTCCATTGCACCGTGCAAGATGAGATGAGACTTGAATTGCTTCAGGTCTTCGAGTTTTTTACAGAGGTTCAACAGAGCAAGAAGGTTGCTACCTCCTTCATTCATCGAGTTTCGTAGAGTTGAAAAAGGCGATAGGTTGTTTTTGGACATTTCACCTTTGCGAAATAAGAGATAGGAGGGAAAAGAGACACTAGCGTAGAAACCATAGATTACTGGCATAAGATGTAGAATAGAAGAAGCAGGGAGGAATCGCAAGTGAAGATGCAGAACCATGTTCTCGTAAAACTTCAAAGATGGAAACTGATAAGAATTTCTGGGAAAAGATTTTATAAGAATAGCGTAAAATCATATAACATTTAAAAACAGAGAAATACTAGAATTTTCTCGTTTGTAGATATTTATATGGACTTGTCTGCAGGGAATGTCTCCAATTTGGCTTTGTTCAGGCACAGCCTGTAATTCATTTCTGTAATGATCAAAAGGAAGTCACCTCAATTAAGCTAGTTCCTGAACATCCATCCTCTTCAGCTGTACTTCTCATCATCTCCCTCACCCTGGCTACATCATCCCACCTCCCTGCAGCAGCATAAAGATTGGACATCAACACATATAGCCCACCGTGATGGCAATCCGAGAGGATGATCCACTTAGCTAGGCATTCCCCGAGCTCGACCTCTTGGTAGATGCAACTTGCGCCAAGCAAAGCTCCCCAGACCACAGAGTCGGGCCTGATCTTCATTTTCTTGATAAAGTCGATTGCTTCGCCCAATAAACCTGCACGCCCAAGTAGGTCAACCATGCAAGCATAATGTTGCATTCCTGGACTCACACCAAACTCCTCAGTCATGATCCTGAAGTATCTTTGTCCTTCATGGACAAGCCCTGCATGGCTACAAGTAGATAATACTCCTAAAAATGTGATCTCGTCTGGTTCTAGACCTTGTCCTAGCATTTTTGAGTAACAAGCCAGAGATTGATTTTCCAAACCATACAAACCGTAACCTGATATCATTGCGTTCCAAGTTGCCAAGCATGGCTTTTCAATGCTTTTAAAAACCCTTTCTGCACTCTCTATGCTTCCACACTTGGCATACATGTCTATAAGGGCTGTCCCAATAAATTCCTCCACTTCTAAATTGTTTCTAAGAATGTATGTATGTATTCTCCTCCCAAACTGCAAGGACCCCTGCTGGGAACATCCTGATAAAACAGTGGCCATGGTGATTAAATCTGGACTGTATCCAAACATTTTCATCTGGAAGAACAGTTCCATGGCATCGGTTGATCTTCCAGCCTGTACACAACAAGAAATGATTGAATTCCAACTGATCAATGGCCTTCCATGCATCTCAAGAAACAAAGAAAAAGCAGCATCTATGTCATCAAACTTGCCATACATGCATATGAGTTCATTTGTCACCATAGTATAAGAACACAACCCGCTTTTGATTCCATAGCCGTGGAATGCAACCCCAACCCGAACATAAGAAGGATTAGTGAATCCATTAAGGATGCTGACTATGGAAATTGAATCTGCTTTCATCTCTAACCTCTGCATCTCTGAGAAACAATCCATTGCCGAACCCAAATCCCCTTTCTCAGCATAGCTTGAAATGATTGCAGTTAATGAAACTATGTTTTTGTAGGGCATCGACCCATAAAGCAATCTTGCTGATTCTGTCTTCCCACAGTTTGCATACGTACAGATTAGTGATGTAATTACAGATGCATCAGTGTCAAGACCAGTTTTAATGGCAAACGAATGGATAGAATCCAGATGACCATTTGCCGATAGAAGACTTACGATGGTAACTGAATTGGCTCCTATACTTTCCTCATGCATTATTTTGAAGACAAGAAATGCCTCATCAAAATAACCAGTTTGGCCATACGCAGCAATCATTGTATTCCATGAAATGACGCACTTTTCGGACATTCCTTCAAATAAAATCTTCGCTGCACCCAAATCTGCACATTTTGCATACATAGAGGTAAGTGCGTTCTTCACACGGGAGTCCAAATCAAGTGCTGCCTTAACTCCAACTCCATGAACGGATTTTCCTTGATACAGTAATTCAGGTTGAGCACAAGAGGGTATTACACAGACTAGCGTTGTTCGACAAGGGCTGAGGCCCTGTCTTAACAATTCGATGAAGACTTCCAAGGCCTCGGCATCATACCCGTTACGCGAATATCCACAAATTAATGCATTCCAAGAGACAAGGTCTCTATCAGGCATGTCCTCGAATAATTGGTGAGCAGTGAACACGCACCCATTTTTGGCATAAAGATCGAGAAGAGCAGTACCCACATGAACGAAACGGTCGAAACCAGTTTTGATGAGGTAAGTTTGAATCTGATTTGCTTCTTGTATTGCAGCGAGAGAATCCGAAACAGACGAAGAAAAAGCACAAGACTTGATGAGTAAGGAGAAAGTATGACCGTTTGGTTTTACGCCGTACCGCAACAATTTGCGAAAGAGAACGAGTGCCCATCTTGAATTCTTGTCTTCCATGCAAGATCTAATGACAGAATTCCAAAGAGAGACATTGGGATTTGGAGTGAAAAGAGTGTCATAAGAGGTAAGAGTGTGAACAGGGGATTTTACGACAGTGGAGTTTGATTTGGAGAGACGAAGGAGACGGCCGGCGGAAATCGAACAGAAAAGGTTCATACTTCATCCTTCAGAAATTGGCGGGGCAATTTGATCAGTGGCGTAATACGCACCCTAATCAAATTGCCCATTCATACTTCATTCATCCTTCAGAAATGGGCCACGCCAAGCATGGTTGGGCTTGGGCCTAAACAAACGCGTGTCAGCAGATGTTCAACTAAGCTTTGAATTTGATATAGGCCTTCCGGGTATATTTCTTGTTTCTTTATCCTTGGTTTACACATATAACGGCATAGATACAAGTTCGGATTCTGGGTGGTTTGTTGGTGGATCGCGTAATGGTCCAATCCAAATAATACTGGGCTGGGCCTGGGATGAATATATAGGCAATTCGGATATAACGCACACACACTAGGGGTTAAATTTGGGCGGGCCTGCCAGGCCCAACCCAAAATTTTACATGGATTGACTTGGATTTTTGGTCCTCGGGCCGGGCTCGGGCCTAGCCCTTGGGTAGCCCAAACCCGGCCGGAGACTAGTCCAATTATATGTAAAATACATTTACATATATGTATATATATATATAAATGTTGCATATATATTTACACACATATATATATATAGATAGAGAGAGAGAGAGATTTTACATACATACATAAATATATGTATATATTTGGATAAATACATTTATATATGTATAATTTTAGAGTGGGTTCATTGACCAACCCAAGCCCGAGCCTGAGCCCAACCTGAGTGAATCAAATTACAGGGTGGGCTGGGCTCGGGTTGGGAAAATTGGGCTTGACCTCGGGCTCAGGCCTTAAGTCCAAATTTTAGGGTCGGGCATGGGTTGACGATAAACCTGGCCCAACCTGCCCGACTTACACCCTAATACACAGACAGACCAACTAAACCATTGAACATCTGTTGCCTTAATATCTGTTGCTCAAGTTTCAACACATGTGGAAGTATACATATGGTATATGGTGGTGGTGTTGAAATTGGATTCAATCCAATTATAATAATATCACCATTCAGGATCATATCTGACCTGAAGTTTTTATGAACACGATCCTGATTTGTCATTTCGTGATCTGATGATGACCAACTAAACCATTGAGCATCTGTTGCCTTTTTTTTTTTTTGAAAAATACCTGTTGCTTTCAACACATATGGAAGTATACATATGATATATGGTGGTGGTGTTGAAATTGACTCAATCCAATTATCATAATATCATCATTCAGGATCATATCTGACCTGAAGTTCTTATGAACATGGATCCTGATTTGTCATTTCGTGATCCGATGATCTGCCTGAAGCTCTATTAGAATCTGAGTATGCTTGATTTCGGATTGGATCTAGATCACAATTTGATTCTTTAAAAGCCCTTATGATCATGTTCATGTTGTTGTTGGCAAAGTATATTTATTTTTTATGGAAAATAGATGCATGGTTTGTGTTATAAACAAGAACCAACTACAATTTAGCAAGGTTTTTAAAAACCGGACCGGACAGGGAACCGTTCTGGATGGTTCCTGGGTTGAACAGTCTGACCGTCCAGTTCAAACAGGTGGCACATTCTAACTTAAAAAATAAAAAATAAAAAACAGCCAAAAAACATTGTTCAGGTTGACGGTTTGACCACCCAGGTCAGCAGTTCGTTGACCAGATCAACGGTTTTTGGCCAAAAAGCGGTTTAGGGTGAAACGGAATGGGCCAGGTTCCAGTTTTTCCGGTCTGATCTCCTAGTCTGGTCCAGTTTTGAAAACAATGTAATTTAGCTTTAAAACCTATGTAGTGATTGCATTTTCATTTCTGGAATTCATCCATGTCAAGCACCATTTTGTAATGTTTTAGATATATACAGGAAATTTAATTTAGATAAACTGGATTATATTTTACTTCAGCTATTATTTCAAGTACATTCCTTCTGCATCGTTCATTCACTTTGAACTAGTTTATTTTTTGATAGATACTGCAGAATATAATTTTGTTTGGGCATATCTGCAATTTGGTAACTCCAGCTGCAGCATCAGATGCCTCGAACCAGCTCTGATACTTGCTCATAGGTTTTAGCCCATATACATTCATGTTGGCTTGAATCTTTGCCTATATATTCATCATGTGTCTTGATGTGGATGATCTGGATTTCCTTAACCTTTTTTCTCCCACACACAATAGTCATTTCCTGAGGTAGCAATTTGGAAGGTTGGCGGAACAAGGTTCCCAACATCATACCTTGATCCAATTTTGGCAATAATCTTCTCATCAATTGCTGCCAGGTAGAGATCAGGATTAAAGGCTATTATACGTAGGGTGCTATTTGGTCGTATCCCATTCCTGGTCCTGATTGCAACCAATTTAACAATCTCCTCCTTCAGTCCCCAGTTGAAGAAGTGATCATAGAACTGCAGAAGACAACATACATCTTAGTTAACAACAGAAGCATATTTTTCTATTTCAACAACTATTAATATAAGGATGAAATTATGACATGTTCCAATCTCTAATTATGCAACCACTCATTGGATGGTAAACAGGGGAATTGCCTGTGATCCATAATCTAATAACTATACCAAATGGAATTCTAGCATTAGGGGTAGAAACTTGGTTTTGACATTAGCAACTGGGCATTAATCCATACTAGAAAGTTAATATTTTGATATTGCAAATCAACTCTATTTTAAGTGTCTAGGAAGTGGGAACTAAAATGGTAAGCAAGAGAAAATCAAGAGAAAGCAATAGACATTACTATTGATGGAATCCCTGGATGAGTGAGAATGTAAACATATCCTTGCATGACTTTGTCGGCTGGGAATGGCCAGAGATGCTGTGTGGACCCTGTATCATGATTGTCAACGAAAGTGACAGCATTTTCTGGGAGCACTCCAATCATTCCTGGTGCCCCTCCCTTGGAGTCCTTCATCCTCCACAGCTCCCCCTGCACTGCAGCTTGGAGGATCCCCTTTGTTGTGAAATCAAAGGCCTTTACAGCACCACCTGCAGCTTGTACCCATTCAACCATCTCATAACGGTGCTTGTCCTGATTGTACTCTGGTTTCCCATCTTGTCCATATGAAAGAGAATTCCAAATCTCCATGACTGCAAAATTTGGATGGGTCTGTTCCATGTAGATTTTGGTAATATATGGGGCATATCCCTTTGCAAAATCAAATCTCCATCCATTAAAACCAATTTCACTCTTCAGCCAATTCATCCAATCAGAAAGCTCTCTTTGGACTCTTGGATTGGCATGGTCAATATCTGGAGCAATGTCATATCCAGCCCCAGTATCAGGATTCCCTGTTCCATCAGAATATTGTTTGTCATCACTGCATATGAAGGATGGGCCCCAGTCAAGCCTGTCATCTGGGGTTCCTCCTTCAAAAATACACCATATTCCTCTTGCATCTTGCTTCTCTGCACATCTATGGTTTATAACTATGTCTGCAATGCATTGGATCCCCACTTTATGGAAAGCATTTATCAGTGTCCTCAATTCATCCTTGTTCCCATATCTTGAAGAGTCTAGATCATACAGTCTTCCTGGCAAGTATCCTAGAAAAACAAAAACAGAATTGTATTAGATTACTGGAAGGAATAAAAGCCTTATAGATGAGGCATATATAACCTCTTTTATTTATATAGACCTAAAGTGGTCAAGCTCAAAGCTAAAGCTATGGATGGTGTCTCTTAGATGGATCTCATTATAAAGGGTGGTTTAGAGAGAGATAATTGCATTAAAAACATGTCCGGAACTGCAGTTATCTGCCATAAGATCCTTAATTACTGGCAAGATCTTTTTTTTATTTCTTTTTATTTATTCCCCTTGTGTGGGTGGGTGGGGGTGTAAAGTATAAAGCTTGAAAAAGTAATTAAGTACAAGGATGGGGGCCACCTCTTATCACCTTCTAGAGCCCTTGCTTCTGACCTTGCTGTTGGAGCATAATTGGATGAAACCATCATTATTATAAATTAGTAGGCATTACTTATATTAGAAGTTGTGACCTTTTTGTTGGAAAACATCAAATACTCATCCATTTCTTTAGAGAAAAGTTTGATACATGAAGACCATTTGCGATGCCAAGACCTGCACAGCCTTCTGAAAACAGTTTTTCTCTTTGATGGCTTTTACTGCCACTGCCAATCAACCATGTTGCATCTTAAGCCTTGACTAGTTCCTGGAATTGTCCACCTTATGAGATTGAGTGGTATGGTTAAGATAACGCTTAGTTCTCCCTATTGAGTTTTTAATTCTAATAGATTTAACTCGCTGCAGTTGAGGGTTGTGATCAACTGCATCCTTCTATGGCAAAATCACTTCTAACTGGAAAAAGTAGAAAGCTACTGCACAAAAAGGCCATTGCTAAATACCATGCTCAAAAATTCAAGATACCTGAAACTAATGTTCCCATCTCTCATTCTAATTGAACATAAACAAGTTAGCAGAAAGGCAGTCAAGAAAATTGGTCAAGCTAACCACTTGATTGTTGCTTGACTATGTCACAAACATGGAGTATAAATTACTTGGTGTTAGTAAACCATGTTGAAATGAACTTATTTTAGATGTTCTTAGAATTCCATTGATGAATCAATTTTAGGCAATGGAATTACATGTACATTTTTTCATGCCTTCAAAGTGCCACCTAATAACCAATCAAACCAAGACATTTGAGCAATACACTGACTCAATTGTTTGATTAATTCTTAAGTGTCAAAAATCTACTATCCTAACTTTCATAGAAACATTAAAATCTGGAATATCCTTGATATAATAATTTTGATGATACAACTAAGCCTTGCATCTAACTAGAACCAACATTCAGAAACACTATATATGGTTGCATTGCATCATACATTAGATAACAATGTTTTGATTACTGAAACATATGAAATGTAACAAGGAAACTATGCAAATATTGCAATGATTAAGATACAGTTCATAAGAGAAGAACTGTTTAGAGACCAGTTCATAAGAAAAAGGAATGAAGCTTTTAGTGTTTGGAGAAGGCAAGCATGGCACTACGCTTTTCATAAATTAAATTCTTGATTGGATCCCTACTCACAAGAGAAGATTGGGTCACACCATACCAATCAAAGTAACCAGGACACCTCCCCATGCAGACAGGGCTGCTAAGCCTGTAAGACCTATTCTCTGGAAGCAAAAAAGAGCAATTCAAGGAAGCAGGATACCTTCGGACGAGACTGAATGAGAGGGAGGAGGAAGCCAAACATGTGTAACGCCAGCATTAGCCAGTTCAGGGATGGAGTTCCTCAGTGAGTTGTACCATCCTCCTTCCTTCTTCCACGACTCCCAATTAAACCCCTGCAGTCAAGGCCCAAAAGCCAAACATGTTATCGTCATTCTTATTAGCAGCAGCAAAGCCAGACCAGGAGTGGCGGGCTGGCGGTGAGAAGATTATATATAGGCAGGCAAGCTCCATACCTGAAAAACTAATTGAGCAAATATTGAAGTGGGCAATAGAGAGACTATAAGACAGAGGTACGAAAATGCAGCAACAACGTTCATTTTGTTTTATCTTTCTACGAGGGTGGAGTGGGTGGTACTAACTCGGTGGTGGGGAGAAACCAGTTTTATTACTTGCACCACTTTGTCGCGTTTCTCTCATTGATAGGATTGGGACCCACCGCCGGAGTCGTCCTCCTCCCGCAATACCCGATAAGCGTCAAGGGATTGCTCACACGCAATACAATCAGGTGAATCATAATGTGATTTTAACCTGGCTCGGCAAGCTTGAACCCAACCCGACCATAATGCAGAGATATTTATACAGCAAATAGGAGAAGTTGGTGTCTGGTTCCCAGTACCCACAACCAATGAGTGCAAGAGCCAAGAATATCCCCTCTGAATGCGTACAATGCTCAATAAGCAGTTGGGTTTTCATGGATGGCAATATGGCATCCTCCTTAGACAGAGCGGGCTGTTGCGCTTAGATCCAAATCAGTTGGTAACCCACTGTCACTGACCTTCTTCACCCTATCTCCAAGTTGTCACTGACCTTAGACAGAGTCCTGCCTTCACCTTCTTCACCCTGTCTCCAAGTTGTAACTGTTATAAGTAATATGTCCTGTACAAGAAAACAGTGTTTCGATTCATTAAGGTGAATATGCAATAAAAAAGAGTAAAACGGATAGGAAGGATTTAGATTTAACGAATTCGGTACGTTCCGGATTCCATTTTTCAACCTCAAAAAGCTTAAGCGTGATGAATGCAGGAAGTATCGGGCGGGTTCTATTCCGGTTTTTCCAGAGCCTCCATTGAAAAAAGAAATGACCAGGAATATGGCTAGTCGTCACATTATCCATGGAAAAGGGATGGGTTCTTGACTTCTTGTGTTCTTGCCAAGTGTGAAACATAGAAAGTTAGAAACAAACCTGGTCTGGTTTCACATCACGAACTCGAAAGATATCCTCGCTTCGCCCAAGGATGACACCACCATCAATTATAAATTCAATCTTTTCATGGGTGTTAGACTGTTAGTTGTTCCTTCAGCCGAAGAATTCGAGCTCACATCCTCTGCATCCGTGTTGCAGAAAAATTTCTACAACTGCAAAAGAATTTGTGCCACATCATTCTTGCTTACGACCATTAAACTTAATGGAGTCAAAGACCATTAACGGACGTTTGGATTAAAAAAAAATCCCGCTTCTCAAGTTTCAAATCTCTCCAGTCTCCCCTCGAACTCCTCTCTCTCTCCAATCGCCTCTGCCTCTCATAATACTGCAACCGTGAAGATCTACCGCTGCAAACACTCATCATAAGACATGATCATAAATGTAAAAACTGGACATGACTCATTTGTATAATTGAGTGTCTAGTTTTCTCATCCAAAAGCAAAACAATGAGATTTAACGGCATCGCTAATTGTTAAAAACTAAAGTTGAAGCTTAAGAACACCTAAATCTCGATGCTTAACCCACCTGAATTCACTCATCCACTCTCTTCTATTGACACTGCGATGAATTGAAAACCGAAGAGTCAATCCAATCCTTGAGAAAATCCTTCTTGCCCCGTACTCCAGTATCCAAACTAGATCAGTCACCTCAAACTGGTCTCTCTTTAGTCTCTCACATCCAAAAACCTTGGGTACCAATGGATCAACATTTATGGGTGGATGACATTGACGACAGCAAAGGGAAAGGGGCACTGTGATTCCGCTCTTGGGTTTTAGTGCGTTCAAAGGTGTAGGAATAAGATGATTGGTGTTACTTTAAATTAGGTGACTCATGTTTTTTGGGTGCTTGTCTAAAGAATGAGAATAATCGAGCCTTGTTTCTGGTTCTGGGTTATCTTTGTTTTCTTATCTTATTGAGTGCAATCGTATTAAAGAGGAGCGGATAAAAGATTTAATGATCTTTTATATGCGACTCTCCATGGTTGCAGCGGCAGACCTGAGAGGTGAAGGCGGTTCAGTGGTTGGAGAGAGAGGACTTTCAGCTCGAGAGGGAGAGGCGGGGGAGGGGTGAAACTAAATAGGGGAGAGATTTTAGAGGCCGGATTTTAGGTATTTCAATTTTTTTAGAGTGTATACGTCCGTTAAGGGCCTTGATTCCGTTAAGTTTAATGGTTGTAAGCAAGAATGACGTGGCACAAATTCACTTGCAGTTGTAGAAATTTTTCTGCAATATAGGATGTAGAGGATGTGAGCTCGAAGAATTCAGCTCCAACACCCAAGTTATCAACACAGGAGACCGGATCTGATCCTTACACAAGGTGCCTCACAGACACATCCCATCGTGCATTGGAAACATCTCCCCTATTTATGTATTATTATTTACGAAAAATGTTTCCAATGCACAGTGGGATGTACTGAGGAGCAGATCCCAATTCTTCTCCCTTCTCACAGACACCGAAGGCCTCTGGCCACTCAAACTAAAATAAAAGTAACAAGAATGACCTCTGTCTGAAGGTGAAAAGAAGGTAGCCCAGTAGATATGTGGATTGGAATCCCTATTACCACTCACTGTGAGTTGTTAATATGTTGTGTAAATAAAAAGGAAAAAAAATCATGGACTTCATTGAAAAAAGTGGTTTTTTTTTTTAATACGAAAAAGTATAATTTATTCTGTTTGTTTGGAGTTCAGATCTTCTGCCAACAAAATTCATTCCAACTTCCACCAACTTTATCTAACACTACACATCTAACCCAGACTGAGACCCGCCATGTATGAGATGTGTGGCGTGAGATCATATTGGTAGAGGGTTGGAATCTGTTTTGTTGGCAGGTGACTTGGACTTGTTTGTTTGTGACTTTGAATTTTTTGGGTAAATTACAAAGGTCCCTTCTACTAGGGATCAGTAATCAAGACCTCTTGTATTTTAATTTGCCACAAAGACCCTCTAAACTTTTGCCATGTAATAAATACCCCTCTTAGTCGTTAATTCAGATGACATGATGTAGTAAATTACCAAAATACCCACCTGAGCTTTCTTTATTTTCTTTTTGTTACCCTTTTCTCTTAAATCTTAACCTAATCTTATCTTTGTATTCTCTTCCTCGGTTTTTGTTGCTTACCAATCACCATTTTTTCTCCTCTTCCCTTGTTTTTGCCTCTACCCCCACCGATGCCAATCACCACTCACCCTCAATATTCACCATTGATACCCAGATGAATAGAAGAAGAGTATTGAGAAATTCAAGGTAAAATAAAAAAAATGACACAACCAACAAGATCATCAATCATGTGGATTTCCATGATAGAAACCACTAATTGAAGATGATTGAACAAATCAATCATCACTATGGCCACTAAAAACCATGGTGATCTAGTTGGAGATGTCTTCTCACTGTTCAAATAAATAGGAAAGGGTAATTTGGAGATTTAAAAAATTTTAAACAGCTGAATGATAACTTTTTTTGAGTTAATTGATGAAATACCAACGGAGGGGACATCTTTGTCTAACAACTAAAGTTCAGGGGGTCTTAAATACATGGAGATCTTTGTCATTGACCCCGTAGTATAGGGAGGCCTTAGAAATGTAAAATTTTATGGTGGTTTTGTCATTGACCGCTTCGAATTAAGTTGAGAAAAGCCCAAATTTAAAATTCTATAGTGGTTTTGTGACCCTTATCCTGGTTTGGACTTGATCCATAATCAGCTTATGGGTCTAACCTGAATACGAAGAGTATGTATTTAGTGTTTTCTCCTGCATACCCTTTTTTTGAACTTGAGAGAAGTCAATCAATTTGGATGTATTAACTATTAATTAAGGGTTTTATGTGAGGCTGTGTGTGTACAATTCTCTACTCTTTACCATTGTTGACTCTATAATGGATTTCTGCTCTCTCGCCATGGGTTAGGCTATAAGCCAAACCATGTTTTCTCTATCTCTATCTTGGAGTGTCATTTGAATCTCTAAGTTTTGAGTTGCCACGAAAATTAAAAAAAGGGTAAGTGCAAGAGAGACTTTTTTCGATGGTAATCGAACTGAAAAAGAAGTTGAAGATGGGAGCTTCTCTTTTTCACCTTCATTTCATATTACAATTAGAGGTCATTCTTGTTAATTCGAGTGGCTAGAGGCTCTCGGTGTCTGTGTAAACTACTTTGGTGTTGGAGCTGAATTCTTCGGCTCTCAAGCACTGTGATATTCATGTATTTGTCGAGTCCAGATTAACTGCAATTGATGACTGTGTGATGGGCTGAACAGCCAATAAAAACGCCCCACGTCTACTATCAAGTTTATATGCCCTAACTCACTCCAATCTCTCCCTTCTGGTGTACGACTGACGTGCCGCATGATTTTTGCTTAAACAGTGCCAAATAGAGCCATCAAATGCAGCTAATCCGGATTTTATTCTAGATTTCTATCCCTTGTATTGCCATGTATCTCTTTTCTTTTTTCCTGGTTTCATGTCGGCGATGTATATCTTGAAATTGACCTTTTGAAACTGTGAGATTCGATACTTGGAACCTTGCTTGTACCTGATCTGATGGATAGATTAAGTTGATATGAGACGTGGCAATCGAGGTTTACTCTGTCCAAAAGTAGTCTACATCTAGTGTTGGCTTTGGCTGGTATTCTATAGCCCATTTATCAACCATCATAGTGGTCCAGGGGGAGGGATTCTCTGCAAGGAAAAACTCTGTACACACTGTGAAAACATGGAAATCTAGTTGCGTGTGGGAATATCTTCCTATGAATACTGAATGCTATGGGAACAGAGTTTTTTGCTTTCAGTAGATTAGGGCTTGCTCTAGGGTCCAAACCAATAGTTAGTTCTTCGTTGCTGTGATTAAGGAGTTCATTATGTGACTCACAAAATGAACTCGTTTGTTTCAAAATTTTAAAATCAACTCAGGACAACGGATGGAATCATTTTTTTTGGTATTGATAGCGCCGTAATTAAATTGCCCATGGCGTACATCACTTTTATCTAGCAACATTAATAATTCTTCTCAAAGATGGTCTAAAAGCCGATAGTAGGGCTCAATACCACATCTCGTATGGGGCTACCCAATTTATGTGCCAACCAAGCCACCACTCAATGGATGGGATCATGGAAGTATAGAGTTACAATAAAAGTTGACAGTATAGAAACAGAGAACCTTTATGCTGTGTTTGGTTTGAAAGAAAGGAAGGGAAAGGTAGGGAAACTTATACAAGATTTCGTAAGGTTTCCCCGACTTTCCCTTACCTTTTCTTTCAAGCTAAACAGTAAACAGCCTTAGGGTTTAGGTTGTATTTGATTTGAAAAAAGAAAAAAACGGTAAAGGTAGGGAAATCATTACAAACTTTGTAGAACGAGACAGGATGCCAATGCCATAGTAGAGTCGTCAAGGGGGACCAAACTCCCCCTCCTTAAAAAGGAAACCTACAAGCTCCCGATCCAGCCCCACAATTTAGGTTCAAATAGCTAACTAGTTTAATTTGGAAATTTATGGAATTCAAACAGTCAAACTCGAGTAAAGAGTAATGCAGAAGTTTAAGCAAATTTCCACCATAGCCCAATATCTATGCACTTGTGATTAGTAAAGTGGCATGGGCCTACCTTGTTGTGTAGATCTGTAGCCAAATTGGACATTGGCCAGGCTAATTGCATTAGCCCTTATTTAGATTTGAACATTTCTAGTCATCTGCAAAAATGAACCGAAAGTTAATACCAAATCTTGAAATTTAAATCTTCTCTAATCGAAGTGCATCACCCCATTGAATCATGTCATACATGCGTATCAATACTTTCAACCTTGCCTCCAATTTTCTTTTTGCCATCAGTTTTCTCGCCTTGCACAATGAGAGCATCAATCAAATATCTTGCAGCCACTGTTGTCAAGCTGCTCTAATTACATCCTGTATTTCATTGAAATACATTGTACCGACCCCTAGAAGAACAAGAAATTCTGGTGCGGAAATTTGAATGCAACTATTGCATTTTTTTCTGGAAAGAATCATCTTAAACATAAGCTATCCATATAAAATAATTATACAGAAAAAACCTAATATACACCAAAGTGATCAAGAAAAAAAAAACACTTGGTGGTCTGACTCGTTTCTCTGGAAAAGATAAAGGATATAAAAAAAGAGTAAATAATAAAAATCAGGACCACACAAATTTCCACTTGTAGAAACTAATTGAATACATATTTGCACCTCAAATAGGATGGAATTATCTTTAAAAACTATCTCCACCATCATAACAATTTGATAAAAAGTCTCCACCTCCATTTAGTCTCCGTCCTCTGAATCTGTATTAGTAACCACAAGACTAAAATAAATATTGCTTCATAACAATCATAATAAAGACGCATAAAGGCAAAATAGCAAATCAACGTGTTCTCTTATATTCTTTATAAAAACATTGCTTAGGTGATGGTTTATCTGGCTTTGATCCCTGGTGCTTGCACTAAGGTATAAAAGAGAGTCAACTAAAAAGAAGTGCAGTGTGATGCCCAGACAACCAATACCTTCTTGTAAAACATGTCTCATTTTATTTATTTATTTATTTATTGAATAGCATTGCACTTTCAAAAGCCACTTCGGGCAATTTGGATTCAAAGATTCTCTATAATGGCTATCATGGTGTACGATAACCAAAAAAACATAGATACTTTTTTCAATTCCAAAAAGTTTAGTAGTGAAAATAAGAAGCGCTGAAGCGGCACTGGGCTACTTTTAAGTTTTTAACTTATCTGGACAATGGTTTTTAAATCCATGCTCTTTCAGAAATTTTAGTGAGAACTTCAAAGTACCAACTTTACGCCACTCATCTTGCTATAGAGCATGTTGAATGAACTATTAACCCTCTTCAAATCTTAAAATCACCCATTGTATTTAAAAAAAAAAAGGCAGCCCAGTGCATGAGGCTCCAGCCAATGGGGGTCTGGAGAGGGATAGATGTATGCAGCCTTACCCCTGCACCTTTAAATTTAATCACAAACCAAAAACTAAAACCTCCTTAAAGAAATGGGCCTTTTTTAATCAGTTAAAAAAACTGGAATTTTAAAAGAGACCCATTTAAAACTGGACTTTTCAGGCAATAAGCAATGCCAAACACTGTCTTAAATGGATCAAGGTTATTACTCAAGGGAAAGAATGGATTAGTAAAACGGTTTTGGGAGATGTACACCCAATAACATGCTCTTATCTAGGAAGAAATAGAAAATAAAGGAGGAAGAAAAGAAAAACAGATATCATCATCATTATCCAAGTCTTATCCCAGCTATATGGGGTGGGTTACATGAATTCTGTTTTGCCAGTCCGTTCTGTTTAATGCCATATCCATTGTTGAATTATTGGTGCTTAAATCATTTCCTACTATTTCTATTCATGTCCTTTTTGGTTTGCCCTTTGCCCTTCTAGCCCCTTCAACTTGTAACATATTACTTCTTCTATGACCTGTGCTCTATTAAGTCTTAAAAAGATATCTGGTAGAATCCAGAAAGCTGACTTAATTACAGTTGTTTCACACACAAATGTATGTATGATTGTATAGGTGTATTATTTAGATTGATTATTTTCTTGAGATTGATTACTAGAAACAAATACAAATCTGGTGAAGCTCATAATTGTCTTTACCTGATCGTATATCTTCTCCTACTTTTCCTCTATTTTTTAGCTGTCTCATGATCATTGAGCATATGAGAATCCACCAGTAGATGTGGAAGACAAGTAACATCAATAGCATCGTGTTGAAAACATAGTACAATAATGCTGGGTAAGGCTCTGACAGTGCCAAGAATTCACGGATATCATAGCTGGAAAATAACAACCATCATAAAAGGATAATTGAAGGAACAATAAACTAATAAAGTCTTTTAATGAGATAATAGCACCTATAGTGTAGACAAACCTTGAGCTTTTAATAACCCAAAATGGAAAAAATATTAGCCGTAGTATGATCCATGATATAGCAAAGAATCCAAAGAACAAGCTGGCTGCAAGCTCCTTCTCAGAATATTTGAATACTTTAGCAGCTTCCATAAACACATCACTTGCATCATGCAAAGCAAGAACAATTGAGCCAATCCGGAAGAACCTACAGGATATGCCCAATATATTCCTTCATCACTTCTTGTCACTGAAAACTTCCATTAAACTTTGAAATAACAATATTTTGCAGGATACTGAGGCAGACATGAATGTGGGAACAGGAATACAATTCTCCAATTGCTAAGATCCTGGGCATGGATAAAGGTACAAGCATCCCACTTATTATACTTAGATTATGCTTCTATATCTAGTTTTTAAGCTAAGTATCGTTTCTCAATACTTGCATACTCTAAATTTAATTAACCTTCTAAATTTCTAATATATACAGATATTTTAGAATGATTTTTAAAAGATGTTTTATGTATTTGCTCCAGAAATGTCCATTCAGTATGTGGACAAATTGAACCCAACACCATCACAAGGTGGTCATATTGAAATCCAACACCACTACACCAGGCATGTACAAGTATGTGGATATCATAGCTTAAGAGATTACACCCACATCCACCTACACCATCACAAGGTGGTCATAACTCATAAAATCTTGCACAAACGGGGCAATTGATGGGTGAAACACCATTATAAGACATGTACATGTGGGGAACACACCTTATTCAGGGAATCCTTACATTTTAAACTTCCACATTACACTTGGTTCATGACACTAAACTTTCCTAATCAAATTATCCGTTTTATTTATCTATGTATTGAATGAAATGCATTGGCTGTGTTACTAACATTGTGTAATATGTTGCTGGTGCTACAGGCCATCTGAACTGTATTCAGGTCTTAAATTACACTTTGGCATCATGTATGAACACTCATTACTAATGGAAAAATAATGTCCTTAAATTTCATCAAGTGTGACACCCTTCTTTTTTATGATTCTCCAGACTTTTACACCATTTCACAATTTAAAAATTTCCCATCTCCTATACAATTAGAGTATTGAGGCTATATCCACCCTGAAAACCTTAGATGACATTCTTGTGTGGCCTTGTGGAATATAGTATCCTATGTCGGTTTTTTTAACAGTATAAAGTTTTTTTTAGATAAGATAACTGAAATTTCATTAAACAGAAAAGAGGTACATAAGATGATGTACAGCTGATAGACAGCTGTACTCTATCACTACACAAGATATCCTATGAACCCCAGACTTAGCTAGACTATCAGCCAAAGAATTCAGGGGCCTTTTGGCAAGTCTTTTTGGGAAGATCTTCTGGTAGCTCTGACAGTCAAAAGATGCATTGAGCTTTTGCATGAAGATCTGAGCAGCCCGAAGCTAGTTTCGCTACCGTGCGTCTTTCCATGTATTTCCATGTGAGAATAAAGTGAGAAAGACACGAAAAGCTCCATTTGGAGCTTCCCGAAATCAGCCCAAAATGGGCTTCTCGCGTCTTTCGGCACACCAACTTTTGGCGGTTAGACCTGTTACAAACCAAACGGAAAAAGACCGCAGCACAGTTTGCCTGGCTTGTAAACAGCCGAAAGACCGTGCGGAAAGACATACCAAATGGGACCTCAGTTTCCTAGGAATCTAATACAAACTGCAAAGTCACTGTCATAGACCCCAAACTGTCTCTAGCCTCGTTCAAGTAGTGAGCCAGCCTCCAAGCCCAAGGACCACCATCTTTCACTCCTAACCAGTTGATAGTGTTTACAGTCTCTCCTTCATTGACCAAACTCAAGATGCCCAAACTTCTGGCAATTCTGATTCCAGTTAAAGCAGCCATAATCTCTGCCTTTGTAGTGTCATCAGTCCCAATAGGACCACTAAAAGCCTAACAGATACTACTCAAAAAAAAAAAAATATCCCTTGCCTTGATCATTCCTCCAATACCCACATCACCCGGGTTGCCAAAGTGATTCCTTTAAACTATATTTCTTTGTAGGTCTCCACAGAGATTCCTTTAATCTCCTCAAAATTTGCAGTCCACATATTGCATAAATTGGTAATGTGGGTATCATATATTCAAGAAATCTAGCCTTGTTCTAAAAAATGTGATTGTTTCTATCTTCCTACACACCACACATCACAACATGTATCGATGTGGCTCAGTAGATCTTTCCTCTTCTACCAAGACCTCTTCCTTGCCACTGCCAAATAAAGTCCAAAATGTGCTAGACAGCGATCCAGCTATAACCAATGAGGTTTCTCTGCAATGGGGAAGGATATATTCAGCAGATTTTCCATTATTAAGACACAAAATGCAAGCATGAGGAGAAATGCATAATTTTCCCTGATACCTCTTCTGAATAAGGTCACAAGTATTTATTTTCTCCAAGCATGCATCCCACACAAAGAAACAAACTCTATGAGAGTATCAAGTCTTCATAAAAGGGAAGTGGGGGTTTGAGATCTCCCATAATCATATCCTTAAAAAAAAGACTTGGTTGAGAACTTGCCAGCAAAGTGGAGGTTCCAAATGCGTTGATTGGGAGACGAAGGAGAGATATAGATTTCCCTTAATGCCTGGAGAAGGCCAACAATCTCATCATTTTCTGCATCCCTTAAGGTTCTTCTAAGGTTAAGGTTCCAATTATTGCCTTTAAGGGGAGAAGAAGAATGACAGGAAGAGATGGTGACATAACCGAGGGTAGGAATCATCCAAGGTAAACTCACCCCACCAAAGATATGCAAGAAGCCCCATATAGAAGCAACACAACAGGATTCCAATCTTAATCCATGTGAAACAGTGTCAAAAAAACATTATGCTCAATCCCTTGAAGCTTTTATGAACAGATAACAAAGAGATAATCTTCCCAACCATGTTTTTTTTTTATGAACACTTCATCCAGATTGAATTTATGTTCAAAGATTCAACTGTTTCTTTCGGTTCATATAGTTCAAACCACTTCAGCTGGTAGCATATTCCATATTGCTTGGCTTCTCTTCACTCCTGCAAAACCAACTCTCCGAGGCTTCCTTCAGAGATCTGCTGAAACAGAATTTCAACCCAAATATACCCAAGCACCTGGACCATATCCTATTTGGCCTATTGATCTCTATGATGTATTTCTTGCTCATCTTTCTTCAAGGCTTTTATCTTGAGCACCCCTAACCCCGGGCATTTCCATGTAAAGCTTTCTAGTTGGGACCATCACCTAAAATAATAGCTGTTAGCTGGGGCCACTGATGGGTGCAATGATAAAAATCCAGGCTGACAAGCACAAGAATGTGGGTTTGAGTCCTGGAGCAGCCACTTGTGAAACAAATATATACCAAAGGTTAGATTCATATCCAATCCATCCTTTCCGAGACATACTTGTTACCAACACCTTTAATGTGATGTCCCTTTTAGTGGGAAAATTGTGCACTTAGAGATTGATACATTTGAGATGCTTCAATGAAAGCATAAAAACCTGGATATTGTTTCATCATTTCTGCATGGGACCAACATTGGGTAATGACCTTTTTTTAGTCGTGAGAAGCTCATCATATTTTTGTCTCTTATGCTAACAGGATTTGGAAGCACATAAGCAGTAATATTATTGACAATTTGGGAGGAGAGAAATATCAGGGCTTTTGCTTACATGGACCACACAGGTGATTATGTTCTGATCACTCATCACTTTGGGGTTGGCACATATTTCATCTAGAAAGTACTTCTGTGACATTTTGATAGATGATTTGGTGCAAGGATGGTCGATTGTTGTGAGATTCTTTGCTTATAGATAGGCTGTTTTTTGTAGCTATCTTCACCTCCTCATGGAGCCCAACAACTCAATTTTGAGGATTGTTCCTCAACGGGACAGATCTTAGGATTAAGAAACCTTGAGAACCTATAAGGGAAATGTACTTCTAGTCATCTCAACTCTAGATTCCTCTGGGGACTCCACTTAACTAGAGTAGACACCCTCACACTTCCAAAAAAACATCAGTTTGATATTTTCGTTTGGATTTGATGTAGTCATGATAGAAAGATATTTACAGATAGCCCATGGCCCTTACTCCTTACGACATCACATGAGAGAACATTTTGGCACCAATGTTCCTCTGGGTGCCAACATCTGCCAAATCTTTAGCAGATGGACCAACTGGGGGTTGGGGGTATGATGTTTTCTGTTGCTTTGAGCATCCACCTTTCTAGGGTATATATAGATTATGATCACATATGCATAGGCAACAGGTATCTTGTCTAGCCTATTCTGATTTCTATCCCATTCTAATTCTTCTTTCCCTTTCTTATTTATTGCAATAAAATATTTTTCACAGTAGATAGATCAATAGATGTAATCCATCGAGCTAAAGACACAAGAATGTTATACAAGAGTAGAAAAAAAAAAGCAAATGCTAATTAGAAATGCTATACAACAATTTGAGCTTTATTGCTTATCAGCAGAAGTTAGAGAAAAAAGGGATTTGTAGGCTAAAATTGACAAAATCATTGTCAAATGAAATTAGGAATCAGCAGAGGGTATCATGCAGAACTTTTAGACACCCAGGTGAAATAGGAATTGACAAAGTGTATTTGAAAATCAAGTAGTTACGCAGAATTGTCATGGATAAAAGATTTAGGTCCATAAAACTGCTAAACTAATACCTTGATAGGTAGGAGTATCCAATCAGGATAACAGTGATTACGTGATGAGACATCATTATACTGAAATCCTTTCTTCGAGTCTCCCACATAAGAAGGGCTGCAATGCCGTAGACATAGAACCCACATTGGCACATATAGAGAAGCTTCAAGGGAACCCTAAACAAAGAAATAAGTCAGCTTCAGAAAGAAAATCTTAGAAGACTATCAACTCCATGCTACCAGAAAACTAGAGACATTCAGAAGCATTGGTTACAAGCCAAACACTGATCATTTACTAAAAACACACCAATGGTTTCATGGATTCACTAAAACCTACCCTATAGTTTGAGTTTTACTAAACACCCCTATAATTTGCAATCAATTTACTTAGTCGACCTTCCATTAGATGACAGTGGAAAATGACAGTTTTGGCTATAACATTCATTTGAAGAAATTCAATCAAAAGCAAATAAAAATGGAAATACCATTTTTGCCCCTAGTAAGACATGAGCAACCACTCTATTTGGTCACTTTTATTTTCTGTACAAAGAAGAGTTAAGGGTAATTTTGGAATAAATAATCATGGGCCCATGCCCTTGAACATTTTGCATTCAATTTAGGTGATCATGTTACTATTTTCAGATGAGAAAACAGACACTTCTTAGCGCAAGGTCGATTAAGTAAATAGGTTGCAAACTATAGGGGGTGTTTTAGTAAAATGAAAACTATAGGATTGGTTTAAGTAAATTTGTGAAACTATAGGGGGTGTTCTAGTAAATAACCCTCCTAGAAATTATGTTCAGTCCTAGAAGATCAGGATAACATCAACCATCTGAGATATAAAGCATGCATATTGGCAACATTAACTAAAGCAGAGAGCATAAATTGTTCCATGCAAGTTACATAATAAATAGAAAAAATTGAAATAGCCAAAATGGTAAGAGAAAGAGAAGGTAATAATTCTCAAGTTTTACATGGTTCAAAACATTAAAAAAAACATGGATCACCTAGACACCGAGTGTGGGGATCTTAGGAGTCACCAAACTTGGTAAGGCTCCAGCGATGTTGTACACAAAAGGATGAAACATCTTCTTATGGAGAAACCTGAGAATTTGTAAAAACAGGAGTTTTAGGTGGAGTTTTGGAATGAAATTTATAGGATATAAAGAATTGGGGTGATGATCTAATACGAAGACATTCCAAAATGGTTTTGGCATAAGAGACAATGTCAAAACAAGAAGATTTTGAGTGGTAAACCAACAATTTTGGTATTGGTGGGACACTCAGAAATGGTCAAGGACACATTTTGCTAGCTTATTCAGGCGAATCAGGCCCTATTGTTGAGGGAGACTCGACAAGGGCCAAAACCTTATTACTGCTTCAAGGTTTAAGGCTGGGACATAAAATGGCTTGCACACATCTACAGGTGGAGGGAAATTGACAAACAGTCATAGGATGGATGAAAAATGGTGGTTTTGGTTCATGGCTGTTAGGACACTCTCTAAGAGATGGAAGGTTCTTTTTTTTTTGTTGACAAGTAAGAAATGTCTGGTTCTTCCCAACTAGCTTAAAAGCATCTTTCTACTGGATTCCAAGATTAGAAAATTCTCCTGATGACACACTAGAAAAAGAAAGGGTATATGGAAAATCATTGTACTAAGGGCCTTACCCCCACCCCCTGGCATGATTTACTGCTTGTGTTTTAACTTTTGGTCATTGAGGGTTCTCTTATTAGTGGAAAACAACAGTGGGGTTAGCTTTTATGATTATTCATGTAGGAAGGATATGTGGCCCTTTTCCTCTTTGTATTTCATCCATTTTTTTAAGTTCTATTCAGTTACTGAAAAATGAAATCTTGACTCTGGGGAAATCAATGAAAGGATTTACCTAGTATCAATATTAGTCTTCTAATGAATTTTTTGATGATGTTTTCCCAAAGTCTTCAATGGCTGATCAATGGTTGTTGCAGGATTCTTGAGGAAGTTAAGAGAGAAGAAAACGAAAGAAGAAAAGAACTTGGAATCACTCTACAAGGACCTAGAATCACCCAGGGGTATATAAGAATTAATAATCTTAACAACAAAAATAAAAATATCACCCAAAATTTCATTAGCCATGTTTTGCATTCATAGCACATATACATATACACTTTAGAAGTTGCCCACTCCAAAATGTACAAGAAACGGAAGTTACAATAATGTCACTATCATACTTCAACTCAAAGAAACTACTGTAACTTACTAAGTACTAACTACGTACCCCATCACTAGACTATACCTAATAACAAATTCCCAGGCTGGACCTATAGAAATTATGTGAAATTACCAAAACACCATACTATCAAAAATACAGAGATACATAAAAATTCATATTTCCAATTTTGGCTTCTTTGTTCCTACATCAAACTGGGAACCTTTGACCAATTGACCCATCTATGGGCTGTGTTCATCAATGGGGTAATTTTCTCTTGAGGGCGATTCCAAGGAAGTGATCCTTGCACAGTGGTTTTGTTTTTCACAATGGTCTCAACAAGAAAACAGTCATCAACCTGTTCTTTTGTTGTGGTTATCTCCATTTTCAACTAGGCCCTCTATATGACAACAGCAAAAGAGAATGAAATAACCAGAAACATCAAAAAGTAGCTTTGTGAAATGTAGAATATTCCATGAATCTATACTAGTCAGAGTTCAAATTGTTTTCAGGGAAACAACCAAAGAAGAACGCAATTCTTCTTTCTAGGGGTGATTCTGTTGCTAGACCTTTCTGGAAATAGAAACAACCCCACCAGGAAATGCCCCCATAATAGGCCTAAAAAATGATGAGGTTCCAAATTTAATATTTTTTTTGATTGATAGGTTCCAAATTTAATATTACTTAAGGCTTAAGACTTTTTAGACTTTAGTAAACCTTCCTAAGCTGATTAGCACCTGTAAGGAAAAAGAAAAAGAACAATAAAAAATTGATCCAAAATATCTGTTGAGTTGGGCCTAGTTGTTTTTTATTCTTATTTTAAGCTATTTAGTTAGGAAGTTGTTGGGCTTTAGGCCCATTAGTTTATGTTTTTAAGTTGTGACTATTCAGCTACATTAGTAGCCGCCCTACTAAGGGCATCCTTGTAATATCTCTCATCCTTTAAGTTAAGTATAAATATAATGAGGGGTTGGCGGCTAGGGTTAATTCAAGAGTCCTGGTTGACTTCCTACTCTTTTCTCCCTCACTTTTCTTCTCTAATACTGAAATATTTATCTTCCTCCCCTTTTCCTTTCACAAGAAATTCAACTAAATCTACAATCAGTGATTTCTACTTGGTATTAGAGCAGGCCGAAGGTTCCTTGAGTTGTTTCCTCATGCAGCCCTAGATCAGCCGACTACATGGTGATTTAAGAGGTTGATCGAAGTTCTCAGGTAAGCCCAGTTTTTGGATTTTTTGGTGGATCTGTGTGCCCTRTAGYTGGTCTAGKGTTTCTCATCAAAATCAGGAAAAACTGGAGAAAGGGGAAGAGTCCTGTTTCTGTTGGACTCTTCAATTTTGACYTARGAAGTRGCGCCCTAATTTTTTAGGGTTCCTTGGAGTTTTCTGTAAGGGGCGGTTCAAGTCCTACTTGATTTGGAGGCTTCTAGAGAGAGTGGCTGCCTCTTCTCTCTCTTCTCTCGTTCCACA